GCGTGGGCCCTACATTTGTACTTCCCCCGTAACTCCCCCCCTTCTGCGCGCGGCCGACAGACTGCTCCCACGGAAACCCGGATAAGGAGGAGGAGAAGGAGGAGGGGAAGGAGGAGGATGAGGAGGAGGAGGAGGAGGCGGAGGATATGAAGAGGATAAGAGGAGGAGGAGGGGGAGGAGGAGGAGGAGGAAGAGGAGGAGGAGGAAGAGGAGGAGGAGGAGGAGGAGGAGGAGAAGGAGGAGGAGGAGGAGGAGCAGGAGATCTGGCAAGGGGTGGGGGGGCGGGGACGCAGGCCCGGGGGTTCGGGCGGGCGCATCTGGCCCGGAGCAGCTCCCAGGCGCGCTGAAGGCGCCCCTGTTCGGGCAAACAGACAGCCCAAGCTATGGCCCCAAGGCGGCCCAAGATGGCCGCAGGATGGTCTCGAGGCGGCCCCGAGGCGGCCCAAGATGGCCTCGGGATGGTCTCAGGGTGGCCCCAAGACGGCCCAAGGTGGCCTCAGGTACTCGGGATGGTCTCAAGGTATCCCCGAGGCGGTCCAAGATGGTCCCAAGAAGGCCCACGAAGCTACCCAGACGGCCCAAGACAATCCCAAGAAGACACCCAAGAGGATGTCCAGAGGCCATAGGCATTCGTTCCAACATCATGTTTCCCAAATGTGCTGGTTCTTGTTCTTCCAGAGCCAACCAACATCATATCTGGAAATCGGATCGCGTCGGACTCTGCGTCGGATCGGGCTATGTGGGCACGGATTCAAAATGGAATCGCACCGGCCTCTTCTGAATGCACTACAACGCTCATGCAAGAATCGGGTCGCATCGGATCGTCGGAATATCGGAGTCGAACCGGATCAGACCGGTCAGCAATATATATGTGTGTATATATATAGATACACGTAGCACCCCGCAGATGCGGATAAGAGTGAAGGGGCGGTGGAGACGTCGGCAATTTGCGAGACATTGAAGAAGCCCGCCGCAGGCGCCAAGCGCCAAAGTTTCACAAATTATACAACGAACCCGCCGCAAGCGCCGATTTGTCCGTTAAACCAATGTGGGTAGGTCGAGGGTGGGTCGCGGGTGGGTCGCAAATGGGTCGCGGGTGGGTCGCGGGTGGATCGCTGTTGGGTCGCGGGTGTAGAGGGCAGAAAATCCACCCCATAATCATCCCGACAAGGGAAGCCGTTGTTCGGTCAACGCCCAAGGCCGTTTGATAAACGTCAATTGTCGGGTCGGGTCCGGGTGGCTTTTCCTCTCTTGAGCGTGGGTCGCGGGGTGGGCCGCGGGTGGGTCGCGGGGTGGGTCGCGGGTGGGTCGCGGATGGGTCGCGGGTGGGTCGCGGGGTGGGTCGCGGGTGGATCGCGGGTGGGTCGCGGGGTGGGTCGCGGGGTGGGTCGCGAGGTGGGTCGCGGGTTAGGTCGCGGGGTGGGTCGCGGGTGGGACGACGACAACAAACAACAGCAGCAACAACAACGCAACAACCAGAATTCTCACAACGACTTGTTTTCTTCAGCCGCACACCCAGGGACAATGAATGACCGTTCCGCCCCTCACTTTGATACATATATATATATATATAGAACTAAATTATCTATATATACATGTATATATATATATATATATATATATATATATATATCAATGTACACCCTGCTATTCCGTAACTGGAGACGCCCAAGACGGCGCCAGAAGAGGCCCTCAGGATCGCCCCGCGAGTCCCCAATAACGCCCGCGTGAAAACCCCAGGACGGCACAAAAGGGCCTCAAGACGGTCCAACGCCCCCCAAGACGGCCCCGGAGTCCAAAACGAAGTCGCCGAGAGGGGCCCAAGAGAGGGACGTCGAACTGGCCTTCGGAGCCTCTCCCTCCCTCTTAGCCCCATGGGGTCCCCAAGAAACTCCCCAGGAGCCCCCAAGAAAACCGTCGGATCGCCAATTCCGGCCCGCTTGGCCATGATGGTGTCGGCGGACGCATATTCCCTTCAGAAATCCAATGCGCGCCAAAAGTGTCCAAGGTATGACCACCATGATGGACCACAAAGGCTTCGGGGCGGGCCCCAAGGTAGACCCTGAGACTGCCTCCAAGCCTTCCGCGAGCCCTAAAGACGGCTCATGAGGTCTCAGGATCCGCGAGGTCTCGGCTGGATCCGCGTGGCCCCCGACTAAGCTGCGCCTCCCAGGAGCCGACGAAGTGCTGGCAGTTGCATATTTGTTGCAGCCGCCCAGGGAGCAGCGAGGTCTCATCTGGGTGCGCGTGGCCCCCGACCCCGTTGGACCTCCCAGGAGCCCACGGAAGTGGTCACAGTGATGCAGATCGCAGCCACCCACCCAGGGAGCAGCAAGGTCTCGTCTGGGTGCGCGTGGCCCCCGACCCCGCTGGCTCTCCCAGTAACCCATGAAAAAGGGCAGCATTTGAGCAGCTCTCAAACACCCGGGGAGAAGCGAGCAAAGTCTCGTCTGGGTGAGCGTTGCCTCCGACTCCGTTGACCTCCCAGGGGCCCACGAAAACGGCGGCGGTTGCGCAGTTCGCAGCCACCCAGGGAGCAGGAGCGCGATTCTTTATGTTCGGCGATGACAGGCGTCATGGGGGGGTCGAGGGGGGGTATCACCTCCCCCCTCCCCCCGTCGTGTGGCTCCAGCACCGCAACAAGACGGGCGACGAGCGACGAGCGACGACGACGACGACGACGACGCGACCAGCATGTAGGTGGCGATATGCCCCATTGCGCCTGTGTACACCACAGCGCTCGCGTGCACCACAGCGCGCGTGTATACCGCAGCGCCTGCGTACACCGCAACAACCATTTGCAACGCAGCGCCTGTGTACACCAGTGCTTGCGTACACAACAGCGCTGGTGTACATGTGTGCACCGCAACCACCATGTGCAACACAGCGTCTGTGTACACCACAATGTTTGCGTGCACCGCAGCGCCTGTGCACGCCACAGCGCGTGTCTACACCACAGCATCCGCGTGCAATGCGGTGCCTGAGTACACCACAGTGCCTGCGTGCATAGGACAGGTAGAAGGAGCATGTACGTGAAGATCTGCTGCGGACATCTAGACGCAACGCCAGGAAAGTGATGAGAACCGAATGCGACGTTATTCCGTCCTTCTTCCCCCTCCACCTCCACCACATCCTCCTCCTCCCCCTTTTCCTCCTCCTCCTCCTCCTCCTTACCCCCTGTCGTGCGGTTTGGCGCTACAGCGCACGTGCGCATCTCAGCGCGCACCGCGGAATGGTCGATTAAATCGGTCCACTTGTTTCTCGGACGGCCAATTTAGCTGGAGCCTCCTGGACGCAAATGGGGGGAGTAAGGGTGATGCGGGTGGACTCGGGAGGACTCGTAGATTCCAGCGGCGCTCCTTTGTCCATAAGATAGTTCTCGGGTGTATAATGTGGAATCCACAAGCGCCCCATTTTGTCATAAGGATTTGTTCTAACACTCTATATACAACAGTGGTGTTGTGTTGCACACGGTTGCTGTGGTGCGCTCTGGCGCCGTGGTGTACACAGGCACTGCAATGCACGCAGTGCAATGCACGCAGACATTGTGGTGTATACTGGTGCTGTGTTGCACACGGCTGATGTGGTGTACGCAAGCGCTGTGTTGTGCACAAGAGTCGTTGTGCCCGCAGGCACGGTGGCACAAACTGACACTGTGTTGCAAGCGGCTGCTATGGTGTACATAGGCGGTGTGGTGTACACAGGCGCTGTGGTGCACGCAAGCACTGTGGTGTACACTGCGTTGTGGTGCAAATCGCCACCTACATGCTGTCGCTACCCGTCCTTCGTCATTCCTAGGCATTCCCAGACGCCGCCGGCGCGAAACGTGACGTCATCGCCCCCCCCGCCCCCCTAGATGATTGCCGTCATCGGCCCGGAATAGAAAACAGTAGGCTTCAGCCGCGTCCGCGCGCACGACGACTATGAGCGACGAGCGACAAGCCACGAGCGACGACGACGACGACGACGGACCCGACTCCTATGCGGATTCCTACGCGGATCCCAATGCGCACGGCGGCAGTGCCCGGAGCGCACTGGGTGGGGAGCGTACGTCATACATGCGGGGGGGGGAGCGAGGGCCATGACGCCCGTCATGCCCCAAGCAATAAAGAAACGGGTTCCAGCGAGGTCTCGTCTGGGTACGCGTGGCCCCCGACTCCGCTGGGCTCCCTGGGGCCCACGAAAGTGGCGGCAATTGCAAGGTTCGCAGCCACACAGGGCGCAGCGAGGTCCCCAGTGGATGCGCGTGGCCCCCGACTCCGCTGAACCTCCCTGGAGCCCACAAGCGTGGAGACCGTTGCGCAGTTCGCAGCCAACCAGGGAGGAGCCCACGACTGTGGCGGCGGTTGCGCAGTTCACAGCAACCCAAGGAGCAGCGGGGTCCTCTCTATAGGGCCCGCGTGGCCCCTTAATCCGCTGGGCCCCCCAGGAGCCCACGTCAGCGGCGACACGGTTCGCGCAGTTCGCAGCCACCCACAGGCAGCGCGGCAGAGGCAGGAGCAAGGGGGGAGGAGGAAGACTGGATACCACAGTGCGCCACACAAGACGAGAACCCAACCATAGAAGAAACAACTGCACAAACATAACCTTTTGGCGCTCCGGGCGGACTTCTTTGAAGGGGCACACAAACACACAAATAAATACACACAAATAAAAAGATGCCCCATATTTTCACATATTTTCATGGTTTTCGTCTTCCCCCCCACTTCCCATATTTTCCCATATTTTCTGGGGGATCGATGATTAAATGTGTCTGTGTGTTTCTTTTCCTCCTGATTCTTGGATCCGCGCCGGACCCCCCTCCCAAGCGCGCGGAGCGCGCCAGGGGCGGCGCCGGAGGCGCAGGCGGGGGGACCCTGCGCAGATCCAAGAAACCCGCGCGGAGCGCCAACAGCTTATGGTCATTGAATGTCTTCTCTTCCGAAGGGGAGGGCGAGGCCACCGCCACCCCATCTCGACCGACTCCGAGCGGGCTCCTCTGCCCCCGCCCCAGTCGTCGCCCTGCTTGCCGCCCTTGCCGCCCTTGGAGCCGCCGCCTCGGCCGGCCAGGTGGGCGGGGGGGGGGCGGGGAGGGGCGACGACGGGAGGCGAGCCGAGTGGCCCCCACCCAGAGCCCCCCCCCCCCCTCCGCTTTTGTGAACTCCCACCTTCGTCCGACCCGACTCCAGTTTCCCCCCCCCCCCCCCCCTGCCGCCTCCCGTCGTCGCCCCTCCCCGCCCTCCCCGGCTTGGGCCGCTCAGCTAGTGGCACGCGTGCCATGGACCTTGCACAAAAAGGAGGGGGGAAGGAGGCGGAGGATGTGGAGGAGGGGGGGAGAGGGGACGAGAAATCGGAGAAGGAGGGCTTAGAGAGGGCCACAAGAGGGGCTTCAGAGAGGCGAGCTTGAGGAAGCGCTAAGGGCCGTCCCCCACAAGATGGCCTTAAAGACCTGTAACATGCTCCCAAGAGACCTCCAACAGAAACCCAAGAAGCCTACAAAGGGTCTCAAAAGGCCCCTGGTAACCACAAAAGCAACTGAAAAGGCTTCCCTGAAGCCTCTAAGGTCAAAGGAGGGCCCCAAGAAATTCTGGAGCAGACCAACCTGCTGGAGGCTCGCGGTGCAAAATGCCACATGTTACGGCCTTGTACGGAGAACGCTTGTCTAGGGCACTCGTTTTGCGTACAGAGTCTGGCTGGTGGGTGGGTGGGATGCGAAGGGGGCACGGGCGGGGGGGTGGCATGCTGGCTGGTAGGTGGGAGGATGCGGAGGGCCTATAGTAAGGGATCGGGGCGGTGCGGAACCGTGCCGAAATTAAAAACGGCGGGGCGGAGGGGACACGCTGGCTGGTGGGCGGGTCGATGTGGAAGAGGCGCGCGGGATGGGAGAGGCGGCGCCGTGTCGAAACAAAAAGGGTCGGGGCGGAGGGGGCGCTCCGGCTGGCGGGTGTGGGGATACGGAGGGGGCGCGCGGGATGAGGGGGGCGGTGCCTTGCCGAAATAAAAAGGGTCGAACCGGAGGGGGCGCGCTGGCTGGTTGATGGATGGATGGAATGATGGAGGGGGCGATCGGAATGGAAGGGGCGGTGCCGTGCCGAAATGAAAAAGGTCGGGGCGGAGGAGGCGCGCTGGCTGGTGGGTGGGGCGATGCGGAGGGGGCGTGCGGGATGGGAGGGGGGGGCGGAGTCGTGCGAAATTCAAGGGTCGGGGCGGAGGGGCCACGCTGGCTGGCGTGTGGGGGGGTGGTGCGGAGGGGGCGCTCGGGATGGGGGAGGCGGTTCCGTGCCGCAAAAAAAAAGGTCGGGGCGGAGGGGGCGCGCTGGCTGGCTGGTGGGTGGGGTGATGCGAAGGGGGCGTGCGGGATGCGGGAGGGGGGGCGGTGCCGTGCCGAAATAACAGGGTCGGGGCGGAGGGGGCGCGCTGGCTGGTGGATGGGGTGATGGAGTTGGCGCTCGGGATAGGGGTGCGGTGCCGTGCCGAAATAAAGGGGTCGGGGCGGAGGGGGCGCGTTGGCTGGTGGGCAGGTGACGCATGCAGAGGGGGCGTTCGGGATGGCGGGGGCGGTGCCGTGCCGAAAGGTCGGAAATGAGGGGGCGCGCTGGCTGGTGGGTGGGGTGATGCGGAGGGGGCGTGCGGGATGGGGAGGGGGGGGCGGCGCCGAGCCGAAATAAAAAGGTCGGGGCGGAGGTGGCGAGTTGGCTGGTGGGCGGGATGATGCGGAGGTGGCCCGCGGGATGTGTGTTGGGGGGGGGGAGGGGGGCGCTCCGGGGTGCCGTGCCGAAATAACGAGATCGCGGCGGAGGAGGCGCTCCGGCTGGTGGGTGGGGGGGTGCGGAGGGGGCGCGCGGGATGGCGGCGGAGGTGCCGTGCCAGAATAACAGGGTCGGGGCGGAGGGGGCGCGCTGGCTGGTGGGTGGGGTGATGCGGAGGGGGTGCGCGGGATTAGGGGGGTGGTGCCGTGCCGAAATAAAAGGGTCGAAACGGAGGGAGCGCGCTGGCTGGTGGATGGGTGGATGGAGTGATGGAAGGGGCGATCGGGATGGGAGGGGCGGTGCCGTGCCGCAATTCGCCGGCCCAACGGGCCAGAGGCGTGCTGAGATCTCCGGTAACTACTTAACAATATTTCTAGTTCGCGCGCGCGGGGCGGTCCCTAGGGGGCCCTGGACGAGAAATACCCCGGCCGATCCCCGGCTGACCCCCGGGCGATCCCCATGGGGGCGGCTATCTTTCGCCACCCCTCACGAGGATCGTGGCCTCCAGGGGGGGGGGCTGCCACCGACTACCCCCCCTCCCGCCCCCCCCAAGAGCCCCCCAAGAGGCCCCATGGGGAGCCCTATACGCCGCCAAGGAGCCCCAAGACGCTCACAAGAAGCCCCCAAGAAGCCCCCAAGACGTCCCCAAGAGGCCCCAAATAGCGCTCCAAGGCCGGCGGAATGAGCGAAGTGATGAAATAAAAAGGTCGTGGCGGAAGAGGCGCACTGGCTGGTGGGCGGGGTGGGCGGGGTGATTCGGAGGTGGCGCTCGGGATGGGGGGTGCGGGGCCGGGCCGAAAAGGAGTGGTCGGAGCTCTAGACACCCTGCGCAAGAGAATCATCCGAAACATCAGAAAAGTCGCCCCGTGTTTCTGAGGAATCAGAGGACACGCCCACCTTGAGCTTGGCCCCCCCTCCCCGCCCTGCCTCGTGTCAGCTCCCCCCCCGTCCCCTGGGTCCGCCGGCCCGTGGGGGAGGCGACTCGGCTGACGTCGGGGGGGAGGGGCCGGGCGGGAGAGGCGGCTCCTAAAAGCGGAGGGGGGGGCAAAGCCGCTCACGTCGGGGGGGAGGGGCGGGGAGGGGCGGCGACGGGAGGCGGCGGGGGGGAGAAGATCGGGTCGGACACAAGAGGGGGGGGGCTCAGAAAAGCGGGTAGAGGGCGACCCGGCTCGCAGAAGGGCGGGCTCGAGTCGGTGCGGCGGGGGGGGGGAGGGGCGACGAAGGGAGGCGGCAGGAAGAACATCGGGTCGGACACGAGGGGCCATGATCAGAACAGAGGGGGGGCGACTCCGCCCACGCCGGGGAGGGGAGGAAAAGGAGGGGCGACGCCCGGGGTGGGGGGGAGGGCAGGGGGACGGACTGGCGGATACGGACGAAAGGGAGGTGGGGAGAAACAAAGGGGGGGGGAGGCGAATCGGCTCACGTCCGGGGAGGGCGGGGAGGGGCACCGACGTGGGGCGGCAGGGGGGGGGAGGGAATCGGGCATGAGAAGAAGGGGGGGGGGGTAACAAGAGCGGAGGATCGAGGGGGCGGCGAGGCGGCTCGCGTCCCGGGGGGGGGGATGGCGCAGAGGAGCGACGACGGGAGTCGGCGGCAGGGGGGGAGGGGCCGTGGTCGGGCCGAAGAGGGGAGGTGGTGAAAATTGCGGGGGGGGGGGGGGGGGCGGCGAACCCGCTCGCTGCAGGGCGAGGGGGGGGAGGGCGAGGAGAAGCGACGCCGGGAGGCCAGACGAGATCGTGGTGTCGGAAAGAAGGCGGGCTGGTCAGGAGAAGAGCCTGGCGAAGCGGCTCACGCGGCCGTCTCTGCTGCCGCCTCCCAGCGCCAGAGGCGCCAACGTGTACAGGAGATCGCCCGGCGACGAGGCCGAAACCAGCTGCATGTGGCAGAATTCGCACCTCCCCCCTTTCCCAATCCGCCCCTTTCGCCCGACCGAGGGGAAGGAACAAGAGGAGGCAGGGAGGAGGAGACCCGTGACTCGTTCGGGCCGGCTTCGCCCGACTTTGCGGACACCCAAGCAAAAACTGTATCTCTTGGCTGGCCGACTGCGAACTCCGTCAACTCCCGCCCGGCGGAACCGCCCACTTTTTTCTTTACCTCTGCAGGCGTTCCAACGAAAAGGGTGCGCCCAGTGCTCGACCCCTGGCAACGCGAGGCTCTCTGCTGGACCGCCCCATGTGTGGACAGGGGGGGCGGAAGAGGCAGAACGAACAGGGAGGGGGGGGCATATACCATGGGATGTGTCGGCCCCTGTCCCAGACTTCGTGGGGTTCTCGAGTGGACCCCACACTTTGCAGCCCAATTCAGGGATATGCTGCGGAGGGCGCCCAACTCTTCCTCACGGGGTGAGTCCGAATGGCCCCCTCGGGGGTGTATCCCCGAGCTGATACCTCCTCTCCGGAGCGGCGTGCTTCTTCCTTCGAAGGCCGGGGGCCGCGGGGCGAACCCGAGAAAAAACCCTGCGAGGAGAGCGGGCGGGAGCGGCAGCGCAAGGAAGAGGAGGAGCACGGGAGGCGAGGCCGAACGAGTCAGCCGGGCCGAACAGAGCGCCGGCGGGCCCCACCGTCTCCGACGCCCTCCCCCCTCCGACTGCTGCAGCGGCTTCACCATCGGGGCCGGCGCGCGCTCCCGTCGGGTGAGCGGAACTGCGCTCGCGCGCGGCCCCGCCTCCGGCGACCTGGCGGCGGGGAGGCAGCCCTCCTACGGCGCTGCGGCGCGAGCTCCCCTTCTGCAGCCCGCCTTCCAGTGAGAGCGACGGCCACAGAGCAGGCGCCGCGCCGAGGCACCGCGCCGAGGCACCGCTGCCACAGCCGCGCGGGATCTGCGAGGCGCTTGTGCGACAACGGCCCGTCGCCCGCTGTCACGCGGTCCCGCAGTCCGCTCTCGAGACTCGGAGAACGACTGCTGCGCGGCACGCCCTCAGTGGGAACGCCACTTTGGCACGCGACGTCTGCACGGCGCTTGGGCCATGAGCGACACTCTGCCCGCTCGCGCGCGGCCCGCTCCCAACGACTGGGCGGGCGAGGAGGAGGAGGAGGAGGAGGAGGAGGAGGAGGAGACGGAGGAGAGGGAGGTGGAGGAGAAGGAGGAAGAGGAGGAGGAGGAGGAGGAGGAGGAGGAGGAGGAGGAGGAGGAGGAGGAGGACAGGGAGGGGGGGAAAGGAGGACAGGATGAGGAGGAGTAGGAGTAGGAGTAGGAGTAGGAGGGGAGGAGGAGGAGGGATGAGGAGGAGGAGGAGGAGGAGGAGGAGGGAGGAGGAGGAGGAGGAGGAGGAAGAGGAGGAGGAGGAGGAGGAGGAGGAGGAGGAGGAGGAGGAGGATGAGGAGGAGGAGGAGGGAGGAACTACATTTGGCAGGCTCCTGGCGTCGACTCCCCGGCGAGCGGCCAGCGTGCGCGGCCCCACGCGGGAGCCCGACTGCCACGATGCCATCGCCACGTGCCGAGGCGCGATCGACATTTCGCCCTTTCGCGCCGGTCCAACACCTGCCACGCATTCTGCAAGGACGACAACACAACGCCATCCTTGATTCGAATGGCATAAATCCTGCATTGTTGTCTGAGGCGTGAAGTGAAATGGACCAGATTCGACGGCTGCCAGCCAGCTAGCTGGCAGAGTGGGGGCATGCAGCAGCGAGTAGGGAAGGATAGGGAGTGGCGGCAGGGGGGATACAAGGAGGAGGAGGGTTCGAGAGGACGGAGGAAAGGAAGGAAGGAAGAGGGAGGAGGGGAAGCACCAGGGGACGGGGAGTTAGACGACCACCACTGGCAGCACGAGCCGCGGCGCGGCCAGAGCTCTCCGAGCACGGTGGAGGCTCGAACAGCTGGCTCTGGGCCACCTTCCAAAGGACCAGCAAACAGAACACTCCGCGGGGCCCCGTGCTCCGCTCCGTGGTCCGTGCCGACTTCGGCGCAGCCTGCTGACACCACGGGGGTCGGCCGTCTCCGAGACGTCCTATCGTTCCACGTCGACCGATTCTGGGTCGCCAGCGGCGCTCAACGTTGGACGCCGGCTGATGGGGACGCCGCCTGTCGACACGACGCGAACCTAACGTGTTCGAGAAAAGCTCCAGGTCCATGTCTGGAACAGTCGGGCTGTCTCAAGGTCCCTGCCCCGCCACTCGGGAGGGAGGGAGGGAGAGGGGGGGAAGCACTATGAGGGTAGTACGTGGAGTGACAGTGGAGCGAGGACGAACGAGGGAAAAAAGGGAGGAGGGCGGAACGCGAGGAGGGGGAAGGACGAGGCTGAGGACGAGGAGGGAGGAGGACGGAGGAGGGAGGGGGCAAGACGGCCGAACGCCGACAACCGTCCCCGAGGACGGCCCTAGAAAGTGCACGGCAGTGGCGCCAGAGTGCTGAAACAAAATTCCTTGAATCTAGAAGATCACGATAGGAGGTAGAGAGCAGGGTGGACGAGGAGGTCTTCGAACGAGCAGGGGGGTCACAACAACAAAAAAACAATACAGGCGGAAGAGGAGCAGGAGAAGAGAGGAAGGGGTAATATCCTCCTGCCTCGTTAGCGCCACTCCCCACAAGCAGGATGATGCGGCTGAGGAATATATTCCTCCTCCTCACTGCCTGCTCGTCTTCCTCCATCTTCCTCGTTGTCCCTCCTTCTCCTCCTGCCCCTACCTCCTCCTCTTCATCCTCTCTCCCACCCTGCTTCGTCCGCCCTCCCTTCCCCGTACAGGACAGGATAAGGCGGAGGACCGCAAGTCGAGCAATGAAACTCTTCACTGCACAGATGACGCATGCCACGTCCTCCCTCTCCTCCGACTCCTCGTCCCGCCTCCCCCTGGTCCCAATCCTGCTCACCCCTGTCCCGCAAATCCTTAGGCCCCTCCTGCAGCTTTCAACGCAACCTGAAGTGCATCAGGCTCGCCATTCTGAAGAATCAGCAGCCAGCTTAAAAGATCGCCCTTCTCTTCCCATCCCCTTGCCCTGTTCCTCCTCGCTCCTCCTGCGCGTGCGCCTCCTGACGCCATCGACCGCCCCCTCTGGTGGCTGAGGGCGCGACCCTTGCCGCCTCGCTTCTCGCCCCTGGGCGGGTCTGACTGGATCAGCTCGTCGAGAGACATGTTCAGCTTGTCGAGCTGCTCGGCACCGTCGCCGTCCTGAAATGCGAGCAAGGTCGGGAGCGGCCAAGAGGGGGGTGTCCAAGGGGGGGGGGTGCAAATCAAGACCGGCGGCATGTGCGCGGCCCCGCGGGGGGGTCAGGGACGTAATGAAATGAGAAGAGGCGCCCTGAAATCTGGGGAAAAATCATGGCCCACGCCATGATATCCACCCCCCCTAGTCATCACCCCCCTCTTTGCCGCCCCCGACAAGGGGGAAGGGCAGCTACCTGGCCCAGGCTAGGCTCGCCCTGCACCGTTGTGCTTGATGTTGTTGACATGTGCTGCCTGTGTCTTGTTTCGCTCTGGGGGGCTCTTGAAACTCGAAACCCATCAGTCAGCTTCGAGGCAACCATCCGCACGCGAGTCGCCTGCGAGGTCTGAGACCCACGCTGCCATCATCGGCACACACAGACCTGAAGCAACAAGAGGGCCGCAAAAATCTGCCAGAACTCTCAGGCGAGGCTGCCCCCGGAACCCCGTGGGACGAAGAAGGACATGCGGCTATTCCTGTGCACTCCCCTTGGCGGCACACGTCCGAAACGACCACGCAGCACACACTCTTTCCGTCGGCGGCGAGGCATAGTGGCTGCACCAGCGATAGAGCTGAACGGGGGCACCGAGAAGAGAATTGGCCAGCGTGCGGGAGAGGGGACAGGACGGACAGGGCGGCCGCGGATGGGGGAGGAGCAGAGGAGGGAAGACCACGCAGCACACACACGCAAACACATACCCAAGGGCCTGTCGCTGTCGGCCTGGGCGGTATGGCCAGAGAGCGCTCACCACCGAGCATGCGCACTATTACTCGTGCTGTCGTGCAGGCGCGCCGCCCCCCTTGGGGGGGGGGGGGGGGGGCCTACGCACACAGCGTGAGCGTGCCTTTGGGTGGTGCCGCGCTCGGCGCTACGGCTGTCGCGCCCCGCTCGGCCGCGCTCCGGGGAAGGCCACGGGCCGCCAGCGAGGCAAGGCGGGGCGGGGAGAGCACGGCAGAAGCCAGGGGCCCCCCTGGCCTCGCGAACGGCTCGCTGCCGGTCGAAGAGGAGGGGCGTCCAATGCCCCTCCAGAGTGCTGAAACAAAAGGAGCCCTGCAGAAACAGACGGGCGGGGGAGAGCCCCCTTCCCAGACATCCGACGCCTTGTGCTTCAAGATGCGGGGGCACCAGAAGTCTGGACCCATGCCCGGGGACCACCTCTTCGGTCCCCGAGTCGTTTTCTCTCACCTCCCAGGGGCCTCACATCGACCCGCATGGGCAATGCATCCGCGATGCAGATGCATCGTCGATACGGTGCGATCCTACGACCCCATCCGGGAGGCCTATAATTATGCTGATCTCATCGTACTTACGGACCACATCCCAGAACTATCTTTGAACACCCAGCAAAGCCCCGAAACAGTGCCTGTCCGACACACACACACACACCAGCGAGCCATCGAACGAGTCCCGCCTCCCACGGCTCGGCGCGTGAAAAAACCCTCCCGTCTCGGCCACTCCTCTTGGTGCTCGAGATGCGTCGTGCTGGCGATCCAGGCCGAAGTCGGCTGGAGCACCATGAGCCTCAGACCGCTTCCCCCCTCGGCGCACCGCCCAGAATCGGCGAGAAGGGGGAGGATGGGGAGGAGGAGGAGAAGGAGGAGGAGGAGGAGGAGGAGGAGGAGGAGGAGGGAGGAGGGGGAGGGGGGAGGGAGGAGGAGGAGGAGGAGGAGGAGGAGGTGAGGATGAGGATGGAGGATGAGGATGGAGGAGGAGGAGGAGGAGGAGGAGGAGGAGGAGGAGGAGGAGGAGGAGGAGGAGGAGCAGCACATGGCTCCCTCCCCCCGGCTCTGCTCGCCGCCGCGTGCGGGCGGGAGCGGCGAGGCACGCTCCTCGGCCTCCCCCTCCTTCTCCTTCTCGCCGCTGGCGCCGTCGCCCTCGCCGCCCTTCTCCCCGCCGCCCTCGCGAGGGGGGGGCGACGACGAGGACGACGACGACACAGAGGACGGCGACAAGAGGATGGGGACGACGACGAGGACGACGACGAGAGGGCGGCAGTGACGACGAGGATGACGGCGAGAGGGAGGAGGAGGAAGAGGAGGAGATTGAGAAGGAGAAGGAGGAGGAGGAGGATGAGGAGAAGGCGGGGAGAGAAGCAGGATCGGTCTCGTCGTCCTTCGTCGACCTCGCAGGACGCGGAGGATGGCGATAACGGCGAGAGGTAGGAGGAGCAGCGGGCGCAGGGTTGCCTTCGCCGTCCATCTCCTGACTGGCCTCGTGAGGAAGGAGACGACGACGGCGAGATGCAGGAAGAGGGGGGGGAAGGAGGAAAGCGACGAAATGCGCGGACAGACGAAGCGGGGGCATGACGAGGAGGTCGACCAAAGGCGAGGGAGGCGCAGGTAGATTGGACCCGGACCGCACAATCGCGGCAGAGGCCGCGCCCTACTGAGGCACCGATGCCACGGCGAACCCTGAGCTCCCGCTCCTGACGACCCCGCAACTCCTGCGGCTGTACGTCCGATGCCGCTGCCGCTCTTCCTCCGAGCTCCCCCTCCTCCTCCTCCTCCTCCATCTCCTTGCAAGGACCAGCCACCATCGAACCGAGAAACTGGCTCGGATCCAAGCGGCAGGATCGTGCCGTATGAAACACGTGGAAGAGACCGAACGAGATCGGCCGCGCCGGGATGCACAGCGACGCCACGCATGCATCGGGCCGCACCGGATCCGGATCGGCGGAACAACCGCCTCGGAACGAGCCGAGCAAGACACGACACCGAACCGGGTCGACCGCACCTCGGGTCGCGCCGGCGCCGCTGGGGCCGTGCGGAGGGGGGCGCCTCGCGGCCAGGCGTCGGCTCGAGGCCGCTCCCCTCTGGAGCCGCTGCTTCACCGAGACACCCCTGGTGCTCAGGGAGGGGCCCTGTGCCGTCGGGCACACGCCGGCATGGAGTGGGGATCCGTGGACCTTACGCCACGGCGATGTGCACAGACAACCACCGATGAACTTTGCGTGTGCCTTCAGGGAGGGCGGCGACGTACAAGGTCGCTGCTCTCCTTGGTGCTTTATGCACCGCCACTCCCCTGAGGCCCAGGAACCATCCATTGGAGGGTGCCTGTGTATGCTTGTATGTGTGTGTAGGTGTATGTATGCGTGTATGTATGTGTGTATGTATGTATGTGTGTGTATGTATGCATGCATGCATGTATGTATGTCGGTACGCATGCATGTCTGTCTGTATGTACGCATCCGCACATGCATGTATAGAACAACATGTATCCATGCATGCGTGTACGCATGTTTGCACGCATGCATATATTATTGTATGCACGTGTGCGCATACGCAAGTACGTAGGAATGCATGTACGCATGTGTGTCTGATTCTCGGTATGTCTGTATGGCTGTATGACAATATGGCTGTATGCATGTATGTTTGCATGTATGTATGTACGTATGCATGCATGCATGTATGTGTGTATATATATATATATGTATGCGTGTATGTATGTATCGTTGGACGTATGTATGTGTGTAGGTATGTATGACGTTGTGTGTGTTCATGTGTATGCATGTGTGTATGTATGTGTGTATGTATGTATGTAGGCATGCATGCATGCATGCATGCATGTATGTATGTATGCATATGTGGATGTATGTATATATGTGTATGTATACATGTAGGTATGCATGTATGTATGTATGCGTGTATGCATGTATAGATGTATGCATGTATGTATGTATCTATGTATGTATGTATGGATGGATGGATGGATATATGTATGTATGTATAGGTATGTGTATACGTATGTGTATGTGTATATGTATATGACACTATGGCAGTATGTATGTATGTATGTATGGATGGATGGATGGATGGATGGATGGATGTATACACGCATGCATGTATGCGTGTGTGTATATATGCATGGGTGGCTGTATATATGTGTGTATGTATGTATGTATGTATGTATGTATGCATGCATGTATGTATGTGTGTACGTATGTATGTATGTACATATGCATCTCTCTCTCTCTCACACCAAATGTCCAGAGTTCCAAACTTCAGGTATTGAAATGAATACTCTGAGAACCTAGACGGTGCTCGCCAATTTGGCGTCTCGTGTTGGCACCGCGCAGCTCGTGAATGTGAGCAGTGCGGCACAGAAGCGGCGCACACACAAACCAGCTCACCGAGGGGGGCGTCCCCGACCCCGAGCTTTCCCCTGGGGCCCTCGGCTTCGCCCCCGTCCCCGAGCGGTGAGAAGGGTGGTGCGCGCGTCAAGGGGAGGGCGAGTGGGGCGAGGGGGCATGGAGGCAGCAGCAGAAGGACTGCGAGCGGGCGGAGGACGGGGGGGAGGTCGTCGCTGGGGGGGTGGGAGTCCTACCCCCCAAGCTCCAGAGACTGGGTATTCCCTCTCGAGCCGGTCTCGAGCAGGTGGTGAGGAGCGGGTGCGGGAGGCGAAAGCCTCAGAAGTCGAAGTAGTTGCACTCGGTGCCGTGCAGGGTGGTGTACATGGCGGCGCCGAGCTGCTCGAGCCACTGCTTGCACCAGCTCGAGATTTCCCACATGAAATGACCGAAGTCGTGAAGGTGGTAGCACTCGGTGCAGATGGAGGTGGTGTGCGTAGCTGCTGCACTACCTGGCTCTGAGCTGGAGTGGCTTTCAGCATCCTCATCGACCGTCCATCTATCTCCACGTCGTGGTCGGTAGTACTCACACATCGTTGGCCAGCGCATCCATGTAGAGGGCCAGCTCGTCCTCCACGAAGCCCGCGGGGGCAGGGCCCAGGCAGGCCGGCTTGCTGGCGTTGTGAAGGGCAGTCATGATCTTCTGGCGTACTGAGATGTCGCGGCAGTGGTACATGATCTTCGCGGTGCCGCTCTTGTACGCCTTCTCGACCTTGCATATCGGGAACATGTCCTGGGCCTCGTACGCGTCGAGCTCGTTGATCGCCTGGATCGCCGCCGTTAACTCTTCCTTGCTCTTGGCTCCAATGTATGTATATATGTATGTATGTAGGTATGTAGGTAGGTAGGTAGTAGGTAGGTAGGTATGTACGCATGTATGCATATACACATGCGTATATGCATGACTGTATGCATGCATGTATGTATGCATGCATGCACGCATGTGTACATGCATGCACGCATGTGTGCATGCATGTTTGTACATATGGATGCATGTATGTGTGTATGTATGAGTGTACGGATGCATGTATGAATGATTATAATTATGAATGTACGCATGTATGTATGTAGACGTTCACACCCACATGCATTACCATATTATGTGGTGGAGATCAGACGCGTGGGCGCCAGATCCACGGATAGGGGAAGGCACCCGCCGAAACAGAAAACCAATGCCGCTTGATCTCGCGACGGAGCGCGCCGATTCCGTGCGGAAGCGGGATCTTGCTGACCCGCGCGCGTCACTGCAGGCCCTCCCCCTCGCCACGCAGCTGCGCGCCGCGCGTCTGGCTGATATGATAGGCCCCGAGGCCCCCGGCCGCCCGCTGCGGTGCCCGAGCGCGGGAAAAGCGGGAGGGCGCTGGCTCTTCGCTCGGCGGGTGCGGCACTGTGGCGGCCGTGTTGAGGCGCCAGGACAGGAGCCCGGGGCACCAACTTGGCAGCGGCAGGGGGGACACGGACGGACCCTAGGGGGAAACGGGTCCTGGACCCTGGGTCCCTCCCTTCGGGACGAGGTCTTCGTCCGGAGCTGTCTTCTGGCACTCCTGGAGGGCCCCTGGAGGGCCCCCTAGAGTTAAGTCGGGCGTGTCCCCCCACAGGGGATTTTCGACGAAAAATAGAAAATTCTAAACAAATATTCCAAAATGAACAAAAAACTAAAAACAAAAAAAAAGTCCCCAGACTATTTCTTGTCTATTTTTGAATATTCCCCTGTAGAGGGACAGGCCGGGCCTAACCCTAGAGTCCGGGAGCGTTGCCGGTTGCCCGCCCCGTTGCCCGCAGGACCCAGCCTCACGCCCATGGCGGATGACGCCGACGCCCCCCTTCGAAACACCGTTCGCGCGGCCGACGCGCACGGGGGCTGGATTCCAGCGGCACGCGCGGGGGCTCGTCGGCGGCCGCACCTCGGCGGCGAGCGAGGGGGGGGACATGAGGAGGAGGAGGAAGCCTTCTCAGAAGGCTCGGAAGTTCCCCGGCCTCCTGGGAAGTTTTCTCCGCCTTCCCCGCAGGCACAGCAGACACTTCTCAGAAAGCGCGAGGACTTCTCAGAGTTCCCGCGGCCTTCTGAGAAGGCCTTCTCCTTCTTCCCCCCCTCGCTCGCCGCCGAGCACCGAAAGTGAAGCGGGTGCCGCGGAAAGAAAGCCGCCTTGGCCGTCGCAGAGCGGGTAAAGACGGGCGGCGAGGGTGCTCAAACCCTCCTGCTCCCTCTCGGCTACACTTTGGTCGGGCATATCCTCCTTCAGGGGGATTTGGGAAGACAAGAAAAGTATAAAAATCGTCCCCGGACAGTGTTTTTTTAACTAGTTGTGAACATTCCTCCTGTAGAGGGACATGCCCGGCTCAAGGCTACACGCGCGGGTCACCCTAGGAACGAAAGACAATTGTCACGCGGCTTCCATGGGGGAACGCCGGCGGGCCGCACCTGGGCGCGCCAGCCGCTGCTACCGCTGCGCCCTCAACGATCAAAGGGGACCCCACTGGGCCCGCACCATCGGCCACTCTGGCGAAGCGCCACTCTCACTGACGTCCAGTCCACTCCCCTGCTTGGGCGTTGCGTAATGGGGGGGTCATAAATGGGGGGGTGTCGCGGGTGGTCCGAAAAGGTACCCAAACGGTACCTAAACGAGCCCCCTGGGGCTCTGGAGGGGCCCGAAAGGGGCACGAAAGGGGACCTTTTCTGACCCCCCCTATTTGTGACCCCCCCATTAAGCAACGCCCAACCTGCGCCGTCCCGCCCTCTTCCGGGAAGAGCGGGAAGACCGATGCCGGGAGGGCTGCGCGGGTTTCCTCTGGGCCGGGCCCGAGCGGGGCGCGGGGAGCGCGCGCCGGAAACGCGGATGCAACAGACCCACGCGGAAACCGCCGAAAGGCTAGCCTTACACAGTGGTGCCCTCTTCGACCCTCCATCCCGTCCCCGTCCCTCCCGACATCCTCCAGGTCAGCACTGTGCCCCCGCCGACATGCGAGGAAGCCACGGGAAGGCGACCGCGGTCCTCCTCCTTCTCCGCGCCCTTCTCGGGCTCCTTCTCCGTGCCCTTCTGTGGCTCCTTCTCCGGCTCTTTCTCCGCCGCCTTGTCCCCCTCGGGCGCTTTGCTGGCGTCCTGGGCAGGGCGCGCGGTGGCGGCGGGGGGTCTCTCTCTCTCTCTCGCTCTCTCGGTTTCTCTCTCTCCCTCTCTCTCTCTATTTATCTCCCTCACCCTATCCGTCTCTCTCTCTCTCTACCTCTCTGTGTCTCACTCTCTCTCTCTCTCTCATGTTAGAATCCATCTCTCATCATCATCTGTCTCTATCTTTCCATCTTTCTCTGGCTTTCTCCTCTCTCTCTCTCTTTCCTTCCCTCTCTCTCTCTCTCTGCTTTCTCTCTCTCTCTCTCATTCTTTCTCTCTCTGTCTCTCATTGCTTCTCTCTCCCTCCCTCCCTCTCTCCTCTTTCTCTCTCTCTCTCTCTCTCTTTTGTTCCTTCCCTTTTGTGTCTCTCTCTCTCTCTCTCTATATATATATATATATATCTATATATGTCTCTCCCTTCCTCCCTGTCCCTTTCCCTCCCTCTCCCTCTCCCTCTCCCTCTATCTCTCCCTCGCCCTCTCTCTCTTTCACTCTTTCTCTCCTTCTCTCTTTTCTGAGGCGCTGCCCAAACTGTTGGCAGCTCTTCCGTAGCTCTCACGCGTACAGCCGCTGAGAGGGACGCCCCAAGGCGGCCCCAGCCCCTTGCTTCGGCGCCGAGGCGCGCATGCCATAGCGTGTTAAAAGCGAAAAACTGGTGCCTGACGCTGCACAGGGGGCGCAGACGGGCCCTTGCGTGGCCTCATCACCGCTGCCCGCTTTGGTGTTCCAGTCGGGTTCCAAACGCACCGCGCCAAGGGGGAAGGTCATGCCACCACCCCTGCTCCGTATGCGGCGCCTCCCGCCTCCCGGTGTGGAAGACGCTCTTCCGTTCGTCGACGTCGTCGTCGTCGTCGTCGTCGTCGTCGTCGTCGTTACGGTCGCCGCTCCCCCCCTTTTCCCTGGGCACTCCTCCCCATGCGCGTCAGCCAAAGCGAAGTTAAGAAGCAGCGTCATAGTTGAGCCGACGGGAAGCCCCTTTCCGTTTGATCGCTTCCCCGCCAAGGGGGGGGGCCTAAAGCAGGGAAAAAAGAGACCGGATGGAAGGGGGAGGCAGAAGGACGAAGCACGAGAGAAATCAGCAGGATGGGAGGCTAGGAGCAGAAACCACGCGGCAGAACCAGACGGGCTGATCCAGGCCCTACTCCTCCTCTTCCTCCTCCTCCTCCTCCTCCTCCTCCTCCTCCTCCTCCTCTGGTCGGGAAGACGGACCCCTTCCCAAGTAAATCGTGAGAAAGGCCAATCCGACAGGCCAATCCGACAGCGTGATTCCTGAGTGTCGAGGGCGCGGCGTCCAAACAAATTGCGAGAAACCCCACGCGAGAGCGCGATTCCTGCATACATTGGAGAAACTCCCGTGCGAGAGCGCGACTTCTCAATACATTGTGAGGGAATATCAAACGGAAGCCGTTGTTGTTGTAGCCAGGAGGGGCAACAACACAATTTGAGTATGAAGACTTTGCGTGATTAACGACAGGGTGCGAGCCCCGAGGGGGGGGCACTGCAACAGGAGGGACCAAACATAAATATTCTCTGAGAGTGAGAATTCAACCACAATACATGAATCAATGAATTAACATATTTATATATACATATACACACACACTGTCGGAGGTCGACGCGGATATCTTAGATCGGCGCTGGGCCCCCTAGCTACAGGCCTCCTAGATGGGGCCCGAGTAAATGGGGTCCGAGGATCGCGCCGCATCGCCGATACATCGGTGTTGCATCGCCGATACATCGGCGATGCATCGGCCATGCACTGGCGACGTCAGCGATGCATCGGCGACGTCGACGTGAAGCAAATCGGGCTTCACATCGAGCCGCATCGGCGATGCATCGGCGCTGCGGCGCGATCCTCCGACCCCATCTCCTCCGACCCCTTCCAGGAGCCCTGGGCTCGCGGCCGGGCGAAACCCCCGGGGGTCCTGCGCGGGCGGCTCCGGGTCGCCCGATCCGAGGGCCTCCTTCCCAGCCTGCTGGGCGCGGGGCAAGAGCGGCAAGCATCGGATCGAAAAACATCGGGTCGGGGAGGAACGTGCGTCTAATGAGGCCGCATCGGGACGTGCCAATCACTGGGGGGGTGCGAAGGGCGCAGCTGTCGCCACGTTCGTGGGCTCCTGGGAGGCCCAGCGGAAGGGAGTTGCGAAAGCTCGGTCACTGGGCGGCTGCGAAGTGCGCAACCGTCACCAAGTTCGTGGGCTCCTGGGAGGTCCAGCGGAGCGGAGTTGTAAACGCACCCAGACGAAACCTCGCGGGTCACTGGGGGGCTGCGAAGTGCGCAACTGTCGTCACTTTCATGGGCTCCTGGGAGGTCCAGCGGAGTGGAGATGTAAACGCACCCAGCCGAGACTTCTTGGGTCATTGGGGGGCTGCGAAGTGCGCAACTGTCGCAAGTTTCGTGGGTTCCTGGGAGGTGCAGCGGAGTGGAGTTGTAAACGCAACGAGCAGAGACCTCGCGGAACCCGGGGGGGCTGCGAACTGCGCAGCCGTCGTCTCTTTCGTAGGCTTCGGGGTTGCCCAACATAATGGAGCTGTCAACGCGCCCAGCCAAGACCTCGCGGCTCCCTGGGGGGCTGCGAACTGCGCAGCTGTCGCCAGTTTCGTGGGCTCCGCACGGGCCCAGCGAAATAGAGTTGGACACACACCCAGCCGAAACCTCGCGGCTCTCTGGGGGGCTGCGAACTGCAAAGCTGTCGCCACGTGCGTGGGCTCCTGGGAGGCCCAGCGGAGTGGAGTTGTAAAAGCACCCAGCCGAAACCTCGCGGCTCCCTGTGTGTGTGTGTGTGCGAAGTGCACCACCGTCGCCAATTTCGCAGGCTCATGGAAGGTCCAGCGGAGTGGAATTGTAAACGCACTCAGCCGAGACCTCGTGGGCCACTGGGGAGCTGCGAAGTGCGCAACTCTCGCCAATTTCGTGGGCTCCTGGGAGGCCACGCGAAATGGAATTGTAAACGCACCCGGCCGAGACCTCGCGCCCCCTCTGGGGGCTGCGAGCTGCGAAACCGTCGCCAGTTCTTTGGGCTCCTGGGTGGTCCAGCGGAGTGGAGATGTAAACGCACCCGGCCGAGACCTCTTGGGTCACTGGGGGGCTGCGAGCTGCGCAACCGTCGTCCCTTCCGCTGGGCCCTGGGAGGTCCAGTCCGCACAACCAGCCGAGGCCTCGCGGGTCACTGGGGGGCTGCGAAGGGTGCTAGGGGCCAATGCTGTGGGCTCCTGGGAGGCCCAGCGGAATGAAGTTGCGAAAGCACCCAGCCGAGACCTCGTGCCCCCCTGGGTGACTGCAAACGGCGCAACCGTCGCAAATGTCGTTGGCTCCTGGCTGGTCCAGCGGGGTGGAGATGCTCGGACAGGAAAAAGCGGTTTGCGTGCCGCGAGCTGCCCTCAAGCCTCGCGAATTGTTTTCAGAACGTCGTTCGCATAACAACGTACGCGTTGTTGCTCAGAGGTTCGATTGCCCGTCGGGACCTCTGATCACTCCCGACCTTTGACCGCGAGCATGGTTCGCGTGCCCTTGCTCTTCCGCTTGCGTCTGCATCCGACTCTCTATTGCGTAATCCTGCACGTGTTCCGGTGGCAAAAACGGCCCTGTCGTTTCCAGGGCCCACTAAGCGTGGAGGTACGGCCGGCACGCAAAGAGGCGGGCCGTTCCAGAGCTCCCTGCCAACCGCCAGGGAGCAGGCCGCTACTGGCCATCGCTCGGACGTCCATCCCCTGTGTTTTTTGTCGGTTTCGTGCGCGGTTGTTTCGCCAAATGGTCAAGGCTGCTCCTCGAGGGTCCTCGCCGAAAGTAAAACGCACACGTCCGAGCGATGCCAAGACCAAGGGACACCGTCGAGGTACGGCCGGCACGCAAAAAGACGGGACGTGCCAAAGCCCCCTGCCAACCGCCAGGGAGCAGGCCGCCAATACCCCCTGCGACAGACGGGGACCACCGCAACTCGTGGCGCACAGCCTCGCACGAGCGCCACGCACGGCAAGCCATGCCTTCTCCGCTCGCGCTCGCAACATGAAGCAGCATCCTCCTGTCGTGCACAACGGGGGGCACTGAGCTCCATGGACTCACCGAGAGGACCGGCAATTCGCTTCCCCCCCTCACCCCAGGGAGGAGCACGAGGTGCCTTCGCCTCCGGCTCGGCCACCTTCGGCTCCTCGGCCTTCTCAACCTCCTTTGCCTTCTCCTCTGCCATCGCTGCGGTGGGCTAGCGTCGCTGGGCAGCCTGGCGCAGCTGCGCACGCGCTGGCAGCTCCAGCCCTCTCTTGCGAGACGCTCTGGCCGTCTTCGGCGCACGAGGCAGGCACACGCGCGGCCTGAGTCTGCAAGATCCTGGGCAGCAGGATGCTCACCCTGATGCGACCAGAGCAGAGGAACCCCAGGGAAAAGCATAAGCTCCCGAGGTCAAGGGGGCCTGAGGGGTACGCACGAAGGGTCGCGCGGCTGCCGAAGGGCTCGTGTGGAATGTACGTGCGTCCCCTTCTGCATTCCTGTGGGTGTGGCCTCGATAGCGAGCAACATCGCAACAACTAGAAGGCGCTATCCGGAACCGCTAGCGTGCTATGTCTCCCTTTGTTGTTTCTCTCTCTCTCTCTGTCTATCTTTCTCTCTCTTTCTGCCTCTCTGCACTCTCGTTACATTCCGCAGGCCCCAACGGCACGAGGAAGCAAAAGCAACAACAACATGCCCAAACTACAAACCACACTCGCTTGCCCTCTGCACACCCGTCGTATTTTCTGCGCGGCGCCCAGATCTGAGGCATCGTGCAGTAAATGGGTCCTTGACCCAGTGGTTTCTTACAGGAACAGTTCTTGATCCCGAATCGTTGTATACATTCTATCCTGCCGCACACGGAGGCCCAATGGTTTTCCGACACGGGCGAATAACTTCGGGATAAGTTCCCTCCAGACCCAGGGCGTTTGTTCTTCGCCACGCCGAGAACAACTATTCACAGACGACCCCTGGTGAGCTTTCTGTTGTTTTCAAAAGGGTGGCGGTGTATAAAAAGCTAGCTCTCAGCGGCATGACACCTACAGCGCCCCCAGAGGCCTACGAGCAGTTGATATATATATATATATATATATATAAATACATACAAATCTCTCTATATATATATACATATATATATATATATCTATATATATATATATAATAGTGCGTGTATATATATATATATATATATGCGCCACAGTGAGGGGGGCTGAACCGAACGGCCATTGCGTGCGTGGCTGAAGTGGAATTCCGCGATGCGGATTGTTGTTGTTGTTGGTGCTGTTGTTGCTTGGTGTTTGTTGTTTATTGTTTGTTGTTGTCGTCGTCCCACCCGCGAAACGCCCCGCGACCCACCCGCGACCCACCCCTCGACCCACCCGCGACTCACCCGCGACCCACCCCGCGACCCACCCGCGACCCACCCGCGACTCACCCGCGACCCACCCGGCGACCCGCCCGCGACCCACCCCGAGATTCCCCCGGCGACCCACCCGCGACAAACCGGCCACCCACCCGCGACCCACCCCGCAACCCACCCGCGACACACCCCGCGACCCATCCGCGGCCCACCCGCAAATTTCCGGCGCCTGCGGCGGGCTGTTTTTGAATTCCATCCAGGTGGAGGTGGAGAGCCCGCGACGCACCCGCGACCCAAACTACGTTCACTGAACAAGCCAAAACTTTGGCGCCTGCGTCGGGTTTCTTTTGCATGCGTTCCAGGTGGAAAACCTGCGACCCAAAACGCGTTCAGTGTACAAATCAAAATGTTCGGCGCCTGCGGCGGGCTGTTTTTGAATTCCTTTTCAGGTGGAGGTGGTTAGTTAGCCCGCGATCCACCCGGGACCCAAACTACGTTCACTGAATAAACCACAAATTCGGCGCCTGCGGCGGGTTGTTTTTGCATTCGTTCCGGGTGGCCCACCAGCGATCATCCCCGCGCTGAATTTGTCAGAGCACGACGACGACGATGAGGACGAGGACGCGGACGAGGAAAAAGAGACGGAGGAGCAGGAGCAGGAGGAGGAGGAGGAGGAGGAGGAGGAGGAGGGCGCCATCCACAGGGAAGATGAAGGCCACGAGGTCCGTCGGCTCGACGCCCGCGTCGCCCGCGCCCGCCCGCTCACTCTTATCCGCAATTGCGGGGTGCTGCGTGTGTGTATATATATATACGTATACGTAGCACCCCGCAATTGCGGATAAGAGTGAGGGGGCGGGCGCGGGCGACGCGGGCGTCGTCGAGCCGGCGGACCTCGTGGCCCCCACCTTCCTTGTCGATGGCGCTCTCCTCCTCCTCCTCCTCCTCCTCCTCCTCCTCCTCCTCTCCTCCTCCTCTCCTCCTCCTCCTCGTCTCGTCATCGTCATCGTCATCCTCCTCATCGTCCTCCTCCTCCTCCTCCTCCTCCTCTTCCTCGTCCTCCCTCTTCCCCCCTCGTCCTTCCATCATCGTCCCCATTGTCGTCCCACACCCTCATCGGCCTCCACCATCGTCCTCCCACTCTCGTCCATCATCATCCTCCTCCCCCTCCTCCCCCTCCTCCCCTCCTCGTCCTCCTCCTCCCCCTCTCCTCGCCCTCCTGCTCCTCCTGCTCCTCCTGCTCCTCCTCCTCCTCCTCCTCCTCCTCCTCCTCCTCTTTCTCCACATTCTCCTTACATCCTCTCTTTCGCGTCCTCCTCGTCCCCTGTTTACTCCTCCTGCCTCCCCCTCCTTTCCCAAGATAACGGCAACGCAATTTTTTTTTCCACTTTATGCTCCCCGACTTCTCTGAGCAAGGCAACTCGACAGGGCAAACTTGCTGGACGGGCTGGTGTGGATGCTCGGGGCTTGAAGAGGTCGTTGCGGGCTCAGACGGCATGCAACAATCAGCCGCCGCGCTTGTGCGGCATTGGTTTGTTCAGTGAACGTGGTTTGGGTCGCGGGTGGGTCGCGGGCTTTCCACCTCCACCTGGAAGAAATGCAAAAGCAACCCGCCGCAGGCGCCGACAAAAATTGGTTTGTACACTGAACGTGGAATGGGTCGCGGGTGGGCCGCGGGTTCTCCACCGGGAACGAATGCAAAAAGATGCCCGCCGCAGGCGCCGAAAAATGTAGTTTTTGTACCCTGAACGTGGTTTGGGTCGCGGGTTGGTCGCGAGTTGGTCGCGGGGTGGGTCGCGGGCTCTCCATCTGGAAGGAATGCAACAAAAAGCTCGCCGCAGGCGCCGAAAATGGTGGTTTGCACCTTGAACGTGGTTTGGGTCGAAAGTGGGTCGCGGGTGGGTCGCGGGGTGGGTCGCGGGTGGGTCGCGGGTGGGTCGCGGGTGGGTCGCGGGTGGGTCGCGGGTGGGTCGCGGGGTGGGCCGCGGGCGGGTCGCGGGGTGGGTCGCGGGTGGGTCGCGGGTGGGTCGCGGGTGGGTCGCGGCGGCGCGGGGTGGGTCGCGGGGGTGGGTCGCGGTGGGTCGCGGGTGGGTCGCGGGTGGGTCGCGGGTGGGTCGCGGGGTGGGTCGCGGGGTGGGTCGCGGGTGGGTCGCGGGTGGGTCGCGGGTGGGTCGCGGGTGGGTCGCGCGGTGGGTCGCGGGGTGGGTCGCGGATGGGTCGCGGGGCGGGTTGCGGGTGGGACGACGACAACAAACAACAACAAACAACAACGAGAATCCGCACCGCGGAATCCCACTTCAGCCACGCACCCAGGGACAGTGAATGACCGTTCGGCCCCCTCACTCTGATATATATATATATATACACATACGTATATATATATATATACATATCTATCTATATATCTATATATCTATCTATCTATCTATATATGTATCTATGTATGTATGTGTATATATATAAATGTGTGTGCACCTGTACCTGGGCAACTCCAGCTTCTGGAGCGCGCCCCACATGCACGGAGCGTGCCACGCATGCACACACAGGGTGCGTAGGCTGAGCACTTTCTTAGGGTGCAGGGGTCAGGGTGAAAGCCATATAGGCCTTTGCACCCAACGGCATTTCAGATTCCACCCTTTGCCCTCCACCCAAAGGAAATGCTCGGGTAGGTGCGTAAGTCGTGATGTCCCGCGTTACCGTCGCAGAAACCATGGCAATCTGAAACGGGGGCCGGCACCAACCCCGCCGCGGGACGCTGAGGACCGGGCCGCCCCCGCCCGGCAGGCGGCGCTAACAGGCAGCGGCTCGAGCCAGCAAGGCGGTTGCGAACCCCGCGCGGGCACTTCCCGCTGCTGCTGCTGCTGAGCAAACGCGGCCGAAGTCCAACGGGAAAGACACACATCAACATCATCAACACAAGCATCAGCATGATCAACACCATCAACGTAAACCTCACACTCATCAAACACTCCCTCAATCTCATCAGTGGCAACAACACGCCATCTCCAATCGCCAGAAAAAAAACAAGTATCAATCATCAAGCCCCGATCATCAACCATCAGTCACCAGTCACAAACACCCGACCATCAACCATCCTCCTCGTCCTCATCATCAGCAGCAGCGGCATCAGCATCAGCATCAGCATCAGCATCAGCATCAGCATCAGCATCAGCATCAGCATCAGCATCAGCATCAGCATCATCATCATCATCATCATCATCATCATCATCATCATCATCATCATCATCATCATCATCACCATCCAAATCTGTCGCCCCCCATGTGCGCCACGCCCAGCTCCAGCACGAAGGAGGCGGGTCCGGGAAGAGTGGGCTCCTGGCAACCTCTCCCCGCTCCAGGCCCCCCGTGGCCCTCCACGGGCCCCGGGATCGTCCGAGCCCGACTCGGGACGAAGAGCCGACCCTGGTAAACGCCCTGGGGTCTAGGACCCGTTGCCCTCAAGACCCCTGCCCTTCCTGGCAAGTCTCTGGGCGCTGGCATGCTTATGTCGGGCGTGTCCCCCTACAGGGGGATTTTCGGCGAAGAAAAATACCCCAAAAATGCCCCAAGAAGGTCAAAAAATACTCGAAAAATAGTCCCGAGACTCGTTTGGACTATTTTTTTGACTATTTTGGGGGTATTTCTTTTTCTCGTCGACAATCCCCCTGCAGGGGGACAGGCCCGACTTAATGGCATGCGATCTTGGCAGGCACGAGGGTCGCCGGAGGCCCAGAAAGGCCTTCTCACAGCCCACCCAGGCCGCCCTGCCCCCACCTCCTTCCCACACGGCCCACCGACCTTCCCCCATGGGTGCTCCGGCAATGCACTAGACACTGGATGCGCGCGCT